CGGGGCACTGCGGGTGAGGCGTGAGGCGCACAACTGGTGCTGGAAAACCAGAGGAGTTGGGCCGCGGGGGAGGTTTGGGCCGCTCAGTGCCTAAAAGCGGCTTTTCCGGGCTCCGGGCTGCATCTCGCAGCAGGAAGAACTCGCTGGTTTTTCCAGGCGTCTCCGTGGGTTTCATTTTAGCTTTCCCCACGTTGGATTTAGTTGGTGCGGGCTGAATAGATGCACACCCCAAAAGTATATTTGGGGGAAAAGCAGTTCTGGCTCCTGCCTGTACCACCTGCAGGAACCTCCGTGCCCCTGTGTGCAGTTCAGTCCCAGGCTCCTTAAATGTTTATCCCTCATCCCATGGATCTTCTGTCTGTACAGGTCCAAGTGCTTTCAAGCCCCGTTTGGCCGTGGTTTCTAGGCTATCCCTTCCAAGTGCTCTTTTACCCCTGCAGGAATTCTCACCTGCAGAGGGACAGAAATAGCCGAGGGGCTTGGGAGCAAGTCCCAGCTGAGGCTGGAGCATTGGGGTTACTGCAGCTAAAGCCTTGTGGTTACTCTACATGGGCAGCAGTTTTCCTGGAGCCTCCAGCCCTGCAAGGCAGCATGCCAGGGGCCTGCTTCCCATCCTGCAGCGTTAGCCCTTGCAGGCTGGTGCACAGGGCACAGATCGTGCTGGAGAGAGCAGGGCTTTGACCCCCTGTGGTAAAGACACGACCCCTCGGTCACACCAAGCTCAGTGTAATGCCAGGAAAGGCTCCGTACGGGGCCGGCTGCTCGCTTGGCAGCAGAGCTTGGGCTTTCCATCAGCCACTGCAGAGCGCTGCTGGTTGTCACCAGCACCCTCTCTGATTCCCTTTGAGTTGCCCCTTGTCGTTGCTTGAGTTAAGCCCATCTGTTTGCCTGCCTTTTGGAAGGGGGAAGAGCACGTGGTGCTGGCAGCCAGGAATCACAGTCGCTTTGTGATGCTCTTGGCTTTAGCTCTGACTCCTCATTCCTCCCTCTGCTGAGTTGCCTCCAGCTGACTTATCCCCTTCCTCTTCCCCCCGGACCATGGAACCTACTCAGTTTGTAGGACAGGGTTATGTTGAAAGTGTCCTTTTTCACTAGCAGAAGCAGCAGTGCTGTGTTTTCAGCCATCTCCAGCCATCCTGCAGGCCTGTGTTCCCAGCTGCTGCCCTCGGGGATGAAGTGGCACAGTCCCTGTTCGTGGGGGACAGTGCTGGCTGGTTTCTGTGTGTGCAGAAGTTTTGGGGGGCTGGTGGCCACAGTGTCTGGAGGGAGGTGTGGCAGCAAGACCAGGTTAGGCAGAGCAATGGTTACCAGGACTGTTGGGGGTTTGGGATATGTGGCTCACTGGGAGAAGGCAGCAGGAGCTGGGTCTCCCTTCCTCTGGGCAGGAGGAAGCTGGGGGATGCCTACACACAGCCTGTGGCTGCCAGACGAAGATGATGACTTCGGAAGCCCCCAGCCACAAGCTGGAGCCTGGGAGGTTCGTGCTCTAGTGTCACCCTGGGCAATGTGACAGTGAAGTCGGTGCCTCCATCCCTGGGGCTTTGCAGGACTTGGCTGGGGCCAGCGTTGGTCCATGGGGGCTTGAGTCTGTTCCCAGCCTGCAGTGGGTATGCAGATACCACCTTGCTCTCAGGAGTCTCTCTCCTGTCCAGAGCTGCCCTTGCACCTCTGAGCCTTTCGGGTTTGGAAGCACAGGCTTTGTGTTCAGTGCCATGTTTGCCAGCTCCCAGACACAGATTTGCTGCTCAGAGCCACGAGTTCGTGTGTCCATTGGGCTGCTGCAGTGTGGGCATGTGTTTTACTTACTGGCTTGTGTGTTTTGTGTCCAGGTTATGTCCCAGGTAGCTCATCTGCTCTTGTAGCCCAGTTGCAGAGCTCAAGCAGGGCTCTCCCTCTCAGTCCTCTTGTTTCTTGGTCCAGGCTGTGATGTTGTCTGAATTCTTCCTCTTTGTCCCTGATCCCGGGTCACCCTCAACAGCCCTGCCAGCAATTTCCTCTGATTTAGGGTGGTCTAGGTGACACTGTATGAAAATGAGCTCTGGATGAAGCTGCCTGTTTTGGGGTAAACACTTGACGTGCAGAGCAGGAGCAGGACGGTCCCATCCCGACACCTTTCCAAGCTCTTCTCTCCCCATTTCAGAGCACGATGTTCCTGGTCGGCCTCTCGGGGGGAATCGCGTCGGGGAAGAGCACGGTGGTGGCTGAGCTGCGGGAGCTGGGCTGTGCTGTGATTGATGCCGATGTTATCGCCAGACAGGGTGAGTGTTGCGGAGCTGAGCTTCCTGCCGGGGGTGTTCCTCGGCCGGGATTGCTGCGGGAAGCGCAGACGGCAGAGGGTGCTCTGGGCACGGTGGATGCGGCTTTCCCTGCTCCCAAGCCCAGGCGCTGAGGCTGTGCGGAGCCGCTGGCTCGGCGGGGATTGCAACGGGGATATATTTTTAATAAAGTGGAAAACCAGCTCATGTCCTGACGAACACTGTGGGGAGATCTTGCCCTGAGTTTCCCTCTCCTGGAGTGCAGCGCTTCCAGGAGAGCCAAAGCTTCCAGCTTTGAGAGCCAAAGATAAACGTGGTTCTCTGTAAAGCAGGTTCCCTTGGCTAAGCTGATGTCCCCCTCGTAAACCCCAGGACACCCATCCCATAACTCGAGTGCTTTAGGTGGGATCATTGCCAAGGTTGAAAGAGAATTTCCCTCTGTGCTGGATGTTGCCTGGGACAGGGACTGGTCCGCAAAATTCCTTGTGCCTCAAAAGCAATAAAGCAAAGAGGCTCCCAATATCCCAGGTCAGCGGGAATTTGGGCTGTGGCACAGCACATCTGCCTCCTGCTGCTCCCAAAACCTGCTGCCCTGGCTCCAGATAAGACCCAGCAATGCAGCTGTGTTGCCTCAGCAGGGCTGGAGCAGGGGTGAGCAGTGTTCATCCCACCGGGATAACGTAGGGAGCAGCAGGAAGATCGGCCGCTTTGGGATGCGGAAGGGCTCAGGGCTGAGCGTGGGGCAGGAGGTGTCATGCTGAAGTGCCTCTGCTTTTCTGTTTGGGGAAGAATTCCCAAAGCTGAACATTTTATTGCACTGTAATTCTCCTCAAGGTGTGGGAGATTTGCTGGAGGTGCTAAAAGCCCTCGGAGATGGTAGGAAAACACCACAGCTGCTCAGTGCTGGGTTCCTACCAATCACTTCATTTTCCTCCAATTCCTTTTCTATCTGTGTTTATTTACTATGTGAACTTCCCCCATCCTCAAACTGCCTCCATGTGGAATTCCACGGGAGAAAGAAATTGGCCTGAAAGATTTTTATTAGGTTGGGCTGAGGTTCCAAGCTGTGGCAACATTCCTGGATTTTGGAGATGAGGCGATATACAGCCTGATTGTCTGTGGTTAGCCTCAGCTTGATCTTCATGATGCTTTTGTTACTGCCTCCTTTCTGTTGGATGGGTTTTGGTGGCTTGGAAATCATCCACTCATGTAACGTCAGATCCTTGCAAATGCCTACTGGGAATCAGTCTCTTAAGATGGTTTCTCTGCTCATTCTCCTGAAGAATTGGGTGACTGAGGTGAAAGACAGTAAAAAAAGACAAACCACCTTAGTAACAGGCAGAGCCAACTTGTAGCAGTCAGGCTGTATTCACCCAGTGCTGAAGTTTTCAGCCAAAATAACCCTGTTGCTGCTCCTGCTCCCTTTAGGATCTCCCTGCTCCGCTCCTCAGCCTGCAGGTGATGGCAATTGCTCAGCCCCATTCCTGCCCATGCTTTGGGAATCATTCAGCCCCATTCCTGCCTGTGCCTTGGCTGTCAGCAAACCCTCCCTCCCACCCTGCTGCCTCCTAACCCCGAGCAGCAGCAGCACGAGGGAGGGTTGTGGCACTGAATTAATGTGTGCTGGATGCTTCCAGCTCTTGGGCATCAGCGCTCAAAGGGACCTTGGGTTCAGAGGGGGATCTGCAGCCCCTTTCCTGCTGCAGCACTGATGCAGATGTGTGCTGGTCTGTGGTGCTGAGCCCTGCAGGTCTCAGTGCAGTGTGTGCTGCAGGCAGATGTGCTGCCCACCACGGAGAGCAAGCTCCGTTATTTAATGACCAAAACCCAGCTGAGGCCGATCGCTGCTGCAAACACCAACTGTGCTGTAGAACTGGCTCTAACCTCCAGCTGTTTAATGTTATCAGTGGTGCAGCCCCACCTCAAGGCCCATCAGCAGATAGTGCATCACTTTGGCACCGAGATCCTCCTGGAGAATGGAGAGATAAATCGTGAGGCTCTGGGAAACATTATCTTCTCCCAGCCGGAGAAGCGGCAGCTGCTGAACTCCATCACCCACCCGGAGATCCAGAAGGAGATGCTGAAGCAGATCTTGAAGTACTTTGTGTTAGGTAAGAGGCTGTGTCCCAGCACACCGGAACTCCTGCTCAGGCAGGAGCTCTACCTGCTTGCTCTGCCTTTGGTTTTAAAGTGGGGAGAGGGACAGGGAAGGAGAAAAGGAGCCGACGTTGAGTGACGGCCTTTGTGCTCTGCCACCAGTGCCCTTTAGCATCCGTGTTTGGAGGATTCAATCCTGCCTTTCACTGCTGCCCTTCACCACCTTCTTCTGTGGTTTAAAGTACATCGTAGGGCCTGAGCAAAAGCATTGTGAGGCCTCTTCTGAGATTACTTGATCTATAATGTCATACCTTCTGAAACGGGCAACTATTCCTCCCTGCCCCCAGCCTTCCCGGGCTGCAGTGGAAGCTGCGGAGCCCTTTTAGTCTCGATAAGGTGAGAACTGGGCTGGCAGCTGTGGCTTCCAAAGTCCTGCTTTTTCCCCTGATAAATGTAACAAATACAGCTGTCAAACTCTGTCTAATCAAATGCCAGATAACATCACCAGCTGTTTTGGAAGGTCTCCGTGTAGACAGAAGGATGTCTTCATAGAGTCAGTCTGGTTTCATAGAGCTTATCAAAGCTGAGCCCTGTGACAGCTGAATAGGCCTGTGCCGGGGCACTGCCGGGGCCGTGCTCTGCTGCAGGGGGAGGAGGAGGAGGAGGAGGCACAAAGGAAGCAACAGGCAGGAAAGCCGGGAGCCAGAGATGGAGTCTTGGACCCAGGGCTGCAGACTCAGGAAGCGGCTGCTGTCCTGCCCCTCAGCAAGAGCACTGAGTGCCTTCTGCAGGCTGCTTTGTCCTCATTAGTCAGGTTTTAATGATTTGGGATAGCTGGATGTTGTCTCTAAGGATGGCTGTGCAAGGAAAGCTCGTATCGATCAAACTGGAGGGCAGCAAGAAGTCTCTCTGGTTGGAGATGCTGGTAAAACGGTGGCTTGGTGGATGAGGATGTCTTTGTCAAGGCTTTTATTGCCGTGGCCAGCTCAGTTGCTCAGTTGGGGGGTTTGGGTTGTAAAGAGGGGACACCAGCAAAATTGGAGGTGTCCTCATGGCTGGGGGACACAGAGGGGAGCAAGGTACTAACTTAGAGCTTTCCCCTTGCCCTCACCTCCTCCCCAGGCACAGCAGGGTGTGCCCCACGTGCCCAAATGCTGCTGTCTGTGGGCACATGGGGAGCATGGGGTGGGCTGCAGGGCCCAGGAGGATGGTGGCTGGTGGGTATGAGCTCTCCTCTGCCAGCTGCTCCGTGTGCTGATGGGGGTTTTGAACCAAACTTGCCCAGTTTTGCGGAGGTTTCAGCCTCAGGGGCTGTGTCAGTGTCACAGCTGCAAGATTTCCTTGCTCCCTTTGGAAGAATGGAGCAGTTTAACCAAAGCCTTCCATAAAGGGAAGAAAATTGAGCTGGGAAACATCAGCTCAAGTGGCTGCAGCCTGGTGAAGCCTTGGAAAAAAAAAAGAGCAGGTTCTGCTGCGAGCACTGCTCCCCTGGAGAGCCCAGCAACAGCGGTGCGACTGCGGCTCACCAGGCAGGAACAGGCACTTTCATTTGAGCTTCTTCCAGCTCCTCATTATATTTCTGCAGCTTCTCCTTTGCTCTGAGCTCAGGCAGGTTAGAGTTTGCTGGGTTTGGTTTTCCTCCCTCTTGGAAACTTGGAATGAAACCACATCCTCCTGCCTCGGAGAGGGAGGAGGGCAGGCAGGCTCTGCACTGCTCTGGGCTCTAATGTGGAGCTCTGCTGCCGGAGCAGCTGTGGCTGCAGTGTGTGTGCAGCATGAGGGATTTGGGAATCCAAGTAATGTTGTTCCCTTCTTGGGGGGGGGATGTTGTCATTCCTGCAGGCTACCGCTACGTGATCCTCGACATCCCTCTGCTCTTTGAGACCAACAGACTGACCAAGTTTATGAAATACACAGTCCTGGTTTATTGGTAAGTGCAGCATGAACCACGAGGCTGGGATGCTGCCACCTCTCTTAGAGGCTGGAGGGGACCATCACGTCCCTCTTGCTCTGGTGAGGGTTTAGCCACAGCCCTGGTGCAAAGCCTGTCTGCAACACCACCTCTTTTCTGGAGGCATGAGAAGTGACACCTTCCTTTATCCTAGTGTGCAAGGGGCTTCTTATGAGGTTTTCCTGGGACCTGGCACCATTGTACAGGGGAAGACGCTGTCTTTAGGCCTTCCACACCCTGCACTGGGGCAGGGTTTGGGGTGTCATGGGCCATGGGAATGCCAAAACCAAGCAGCAGGGTGGCTCTGCTGCTCCAAGCGCAGGATGCCCACACAGGGCACGTCTCTCTTCCCACCACTTCCGCTGAGGAAGGCAGGCAGAAACCTCCTCTTCCTCCCTCTCCCCACCTCACCCCATCCTCCCATCCCGGCAGCAGCCCCCGGGCGCAGCTCTCCCGGCTGATGCAGAGGAATGGGCTGTCCCAGGAGGAGGCAGAAGCTCGCATCCGCTCCCAGCTCCCGCTGGATGAGAAGCGCAGGTTTGCAACTCACATCATCGACAACTCTGGGGAGCGGGAGAGCACCCGCCGCCAGGTCCTGAGGCTCCATACCCAGCTCGAGGATTCCCTGGATTTCCTCTGGGCACGGCTGGCAGCGGGCACGGTTGTGGCCGGGCTCGGAGGGCTCCTGTACCTCCTCCTCCGGCATTTCAGCTCTTAATTTACCTTCTCTTTTTGTCGTGCAAGAGGCCTGAATTTCCAGGTTTGAAAAGGACACTGAAAGGCCACCTCTTTTAATGAGCTTTGCCGGCTGAATGCAGACAGTGGGATGAGGCATCTCCTTGCAGCCTGCCCAAGGTGAATGTAGGGGGGTTTCTTCAGCGCCATCACCCCTCTCCTTTCCGTTCTCCTTGCGTGGCTGTGGCCAGCAGAGGGGACAAACCCCTTGTTTTCCGCCTCCTAGGTCTCTATGGTGGGACTTCAGTGAATTTAGGCACTTTAATGTCTTCTAGGACAATCTTTACCAGTCTTCCAATACCTAAAGGGGGCCTAGAAGGAATCTAGAGGGATTTTTTGCAGGGGAATGTAGGGAATTTTTATAGGGGAATGTAGGGACAGGCCAAGGGGAATGGCTTTAACCTGCCAGAGGGGAGAGTGAGATGAGCTCTGAGGCAGAAGCTCTTCCCTGGGAGGGTGCTGAGGTGCTGGCACAGGGTGCCCAGAGAAGCTGTGGCTGCCCCATCCCTGGCAGTGTTCAAGGCCAGGTTGGACACAGGGGCTTGGAGCAACCTGCTCTAGTGGAAGGTGT